AGAGAGAGAGAGAGAGAGAGAGAGAGAGAGAGAGAGAGAGAGAGAGAGAGAGAGAAGAGGGAGATTACAAAGTTAGTAACTGGTCACTTTGAGCTTTTGGAAATGAGGTCATTCTGTTTCTCCCCAAGGACTCTGGGAATTATCCTCCCTTAGTGAAAGAGGTCTGAGGCAAACAGGACACCTCAAGGTTCTTAAAGTCATCGTGACTGAGTCTGAGGTAATGTCTTCTTTACATGAAGATGACTATTAAAATCATGTAAACATCGAAGTAACTGTTTGAACTTGTTTTCTAGTTATTTAAGACTATCGGGCCTTCCCTCCATCCCAGTGTCGCAAATACCTGTCATCCCCCTTGCCTTGCCCAGGCAGGGCGGCCTTCTGAAGGTGCTTTCTATTTCCAGAGCTGTGGAAACCAGAACTTCGTTCAAGCTTCGACAGATTGTGTAATTTAAAAGTTAAAATTTTCATAATGAAAACATGCCTCCAGGTGCTCCCTAGGTTTGGTGGGGCTGGGAGGGGGGAGTAGAATAAAGTTGCTTTACAAGGGTGGATATGTTCCCAAGGACACAGTCTAGGGAGAACTGGGAGACTTGAGACAAGTTTCGGAGCAGGAGGAAAAGCTGGACTCGATGTATTTATATCACCAACCTGGCAAATCTATAAATTTACATATAAATAAAAGGCCATCCCACTCCTGTTTCTGCATGTTCTCCTCTGGCTCCTGCCCATGGTAGGGCTAGCTAGTCACAGATACAGTATTTCTGTCCTCATAAAGAAACGCTGGCATCCTGGGAAATCACCCGACAGACTGAACTATAAATACATTATTAATCAGAGCAATTTGTTCTTCATTGTTCTCCCTTTCCCAATATCCCAAAACAACCTCAGGAGAGAGGGGAAAAAAAAAAAAAACACCCACACTGCCACTAGCCATTTAATGAGTGTGCAAGCAAAGACCATATATTTCAAAATAGCAATAATAAAAAATACCCAAGTCCTGGGCCCTAAGTTGTTGCCTTAGGCCAGCTAAATCCGAGTACATCCCACAGGCAGATGGTCTGTGTGTGTGTGTGTGTGTGTGTGTGTGTGACATTGAACAAGCTAAGGAAGATAAGGTCAGGGGCTTAATCCACAAATAACCAGACACCTTTGCTCTTTGTAATAACGACACGATCCTTACTCATGGGACAGCTGCCTTGCAAAGAGTTGTGCTCTACAGAGTCTGGGGCAGGGAGAAATTGAAAAAATGAAAACTGAGTACCAGCCTATCTATTGTCATTAATGAGCAAACAAGTCACAGTCACAGCCTCCTGGAAATGAGAAAGGGACTGTGCTTCAATTTGTCCTCTCCTCTCCATGGTTATGACTGCTGTTGTTGTTGCTGTTGTTGTTGTGGGGTCAAACAGATGCTGGATTTCAAAAGGACAAGCCCTCTGAGTGCTCCCCCCAAATAAATGTCCTCTGACAGATGCTCCACCTGCCGAAGAGAGTATTTGCAGCCTAAAGGT